GCCACGCCGCCACTACGGCGGCAGTACCGTTTCGACTCCTAATAAAATCGCCTCAAAAGGCGCGCCACTGTGGCCGAGCCAATAGGGAAGATATTTCCGCGGCTGTTCCTTTCATAGGAAGGCAAGGCTCTGAGCCTATTACGATCTAGGGGTTCGAAGGCTGGACCCCAAAAGGGTTTCGACAGCTGCCCCAGGATAACAGAGTCGGGGCGCATCATGGCGAAAGCCTATTCGGGGCCGAGACCCAAGCGAGCGAAATGCTTGGGACGCCCAAAGTCGTGTCCGAGACCGGCAGGAAAGTATCCGAATGGGATCCCACCGTAGGGAGGCACCGAGCCATCGAGGCCCAACGAACGGCCTCGGCACCCACTAGAGAAATCATCTGGTACTCTTGGAGTGTGTCTCTGGACCGCTAGCCGTCCCCTAACGAACGGGGTTCGGGCCTCCACTCGGACTACCCGATAACAGCTCATCGGAAGTGCCACCGCTCGTGCCCATCGAGGGTAGCGAGGCACATTCCACCCCTCCTTCCGAGCGAAAAGGAAGCGCGAGGGTCGCATAAAAAGTCAGGGGAACCCCTGACAGCCTTCTCGCCCTATGCAGAGGCTAGGGGGCTCCTCCTGCAAATATGCCGAGACCCCACGACCCGGGCTCGCGCCCAAAGGGGCCTCGGCAAACAAACCCTCACGCGCGAGGGGCGTATAAAAAGTCAGGGGAACTCCCGACGGCCCTCTCGCTCTGCGCACACGAACCCTCCGTCCAAATGAAAAGGATATGTGAGGGGCGAATGAAAAAGTCTATCGACCCCCGACCGTCCTCTTGCTCCAGGCGGAGGCTCGGGGGCTCCTCTTGCACCCAAAAACCAAGACAAAAACACGATAAAGGGCACCGAGCCCGTTATGGTCCATGGGTTCAAAGGCTGGGCCTCCAAGAGGTTTCGACAGCCGCCCCAGGGCAACAGAGTCAGGGATGACTTCGGGGCAAGCCTACGAATGGCCCAGGCCCGAACGAACAGTCGCTCGGGACGTCCTAAGTCGTATCCGAGACCGGCAGGAAAGTATCCGAATGGGATCCCACCGTAGGGAGGCACCGAGCCACCGAGGCCCAGCGAACGGCCTCGGCACCCACTAGAGAAATCATCCGATACTTTTGGAGTGCGTCTCTGGACCGCTAGCCGTCCCCTAGCGAACGGGGCTCGGGCCTCCACTCGGACTACCCGATAACAGCTCACCGAAAGTGTCCACGCTCGCGCCCATCGAGGGTAGCATGGCACATTCCACCCCTCCTTCCAAGCGAAAGGAAGCGTGAGGGACATACCCAAAGTCAGGGGGACCCCTGACGAACCTCTCGCTCCGTGCGGAGGCTAGAGGACCTTTTTTTTCTCTGCAACCTCGCCGAGACCCCCGCAACCTGAACTTGCACTTATGGGCTCGGCAAATGCAATAAGAACTGATCACTCAAACGCGAAAATGGAGAAAGCCCCTGGAGGAGTAACTTCACTCCTCCAGGGCTCGAAAGACCACCCGGCCAGGTGCGCTCGCATGCGCACCCACCGGAACCTCGAAAACAAACCAATTCCACGGAGCAGGCATAAACCCAGCCTCGACGAACCCTCAGGGAGAGTGCACGCACTCACCCCGAGGCTCGGGGGCTACTGTCGGGTACCTTAGAACGGGGTACCCCAAGCAAACATCAAAATAAAGCAAGAGGGTAAGCCGTGGGCCCCTCACCTGCCACGACCGAGCCCTCCTCCACCTCGCCTCGAGCCTCGAGCAGAAGGTCTCGGAATAAACTCCGCCTCGCGAGAGGCTCCCCAGGGTAGGCCTCGGCAGGGGGCGCCGAGCCTCGGCAGGGGACGCCATCTCCGTCTCGCCCGAGGCTCTCCAGGGAAGGCCTCGGCAGGGGTACATTCTCCGTATTGCGCGAGGCCCCAGCCTCCGTGTCGCTCGAGGCCGGGTCGCCCACAGCCCATCACCCCCCGCCTCGACCGACCCTCCAGACAACGTGTCATGTCCCATTAATGCTTCAACCACTCCCGCAATCTCAGCCGGACGACGGCTCAATGCCATAGAATGGCCGACGCGACCAAAAAGGTCGATCGGTATACTCCGGCAATTTGGGACAGTGGTACTGGCGGGGATTACCGCCACTTTGTGTCCTAACGCCAGATTCACGATCTGCGCCATACCGGCTGGGACAGGGTACGGCGGGGATTACCGGCCACTGTGTCCTAACGCTGTATCCACGACCTGCGCCATACCGGCTGGGACAGGGTACGGCGGAAATTACCGGCCACTGTGTCCTAACACTGTACCCACGATCAGCTGCCCACTCGAGGCCTCGGCACCGTACACCAAGGTCTCGACCATCTTGGGGATCGTGCCTGCCGAGACCCCTCCACCATGGTGCAGCCTCGACACCAAGTCTCGGCCTCGCGCGCAGTCCGTCCACAGTGGCTTGCACGTCCACCGCCGCGCCCACTCCGAGGCAGTCCCGGGGCTCCCACGACGCACAGGATCTGATAGGACGGCCACGTCGCCCCAGTGCTCCAAGGACGGACCACTCCGACGGCCGCACCGCCACAGGAACAGGCTACAGGGCCCGGACACGCCGCCTCTGTTCACACGACGCCGTATAGTTAGCTCATGTACCGCCCTAGTCCTCCCTTCATGCTATAAAAGGAGAGGACCTGGGTTGTTTTAAGGGGGGGACACCTTGTAACACACACACGCACACTCCTGCCGCCTGAGAGCAACGTCTCAAGCGGCCCACACGGCACCCTGCCGAGACCTAGGACCAGCTCCTTCTCTCCTTTAGCTTGTAACCCCCTACTACGAGCACCTCGGTGCAAGGAATACAAGATCGATCTCTCAGACTGGACGTAGGGCCTCGATTGCCTGAACCAGTATAAACCTTGTGTCTCTTTACATCACCATCCGGATCGGGAGCACGCAGAACAAATTCACTGGTTGGTTGAGGACCCCCGGTCCGAAACACCGACACACACACTGTGCAATGAGCAAGAATCTCTCCAAATCTCCAACGTCGGACCGCTCTGTTCGCTTGAGCTTATCAGCCAGAATCAGCCCTACTTTTCAGCCATGAAACAGTGTTTTTCTCTCACAACAAAACAGCCCTACAAATCAGCCGCAGCAACGGTAAGTCTTGCCAAACAGGGCAATGGCAGCATGCGGCGCAAAGCACCCATTTGTGCATCCTTCTCCAACCTCCGGACCTCCACCTTTGGTTCAGCCATCTTTCTTCTGTCATCCCTGTGTGAGAATGGGATGTCGGCAGCTGGAACAGCAGCTCGTGGTCACAGCGACGTGGAACTGTGGACGGTGAATTCGGTCGATCCTAGTATATATACTAATTTACGATAATATCAATACATATTTATAATAGTTGGGTTACTAATAATATACGGAGATATTTACCATAACGTTATAGTTTAGACTCGGTGGCCGTGCAGGCTCTCTCTTAGCTTGTGGAGGACTTGGTCGCTGCAGTGTTTTTTGGCGTCCAATTTGCCATGTGATGATCATGTTCTATCCGTATGTGCTGTCATCTATCGGTGTGAGGCGCTGTCACAAGGCGGTATCACTCGCCACGGTCACGGCTCCAGAGAGAGAATTTTGCATTTATTCTCTCCATGCAGCTGACTGACTGATGGGAGCTCCTCTGACTGATCGAGGCTGACACTTATAGAGATGCTTCCGGTGACAGGGATATCAATCAAGGCCTTGTTTAGATGTCACCAAAATTCTAAGTTTTTTTACTCTCTTTTTATCACATTAATTTTTAGCCACTTGCATAGAGTATTAAATGTAGGTAAAAAAAATAACTAATTACACAGTTTAGTTGGAAATCACGAGATGAATCTTTTGAGCCTAGTTGGTCCACGATTGGACAATATTTGTCAAATAAGACGAAAGTGGTACTATTCATCGGTTTGAAATTTTTTCAGCATCTAATCGAGGCCCAAGTAGCTATTCTTCGGGCGTCTGTATTTTTCATTTTTTTTAGGCAGTGAATAAAAGCTACATACAGTACTGGATGAATCAATCTAAAGCCCCTTTGACACGGCTCATCTAAAACGACTTCACCGGTGAAGCCAAAGCCGGTGAAGCCAGAAAAACTAGCTTTTTTCGGCTTCTAGTTCATTTTAACCCCGGCTTACAAAACGGCTTCACGCTACAGTGCCTCGATTTGCGCAAAATTGGTGAAGCCGAAGCTAGCATAAACTATGCCAAAAAGGCCCTGGGTATCTAACTAGTGGCGCCAGATCAGGTTGCACTGTTCTTCAACCTGTGTCTCTTGTTCGTTCCAGCGATCGAGCGACCCCATGCAGCAGCAGTTCCCGACTGTGGTTAATTTGGTCAGATGAGATTGAAAGTAAAGCTTGAATCTGGAAAAATTACGTGTATTTTCGTAGCTGGGGGAAGAACGCGGTAGCTGGCAGATTATATTCGATACAGATGAGATGAGAATATGCGATTTTATCGTCATGGGTTGTTCACAAAATTTAACCTGCCTTTTAATCATCTGGTGGTGGCGTCGGGCTAGCTGTCACCAACCATGCAGATTAATTAGTTACTTGTGTACATACATACATTATATAAACAGGCAGGATCGTCCTTGCCGTTCCTAACCTTTGATCTCCCAAATTGTTAAACTTATCGCGTGATCAGACGACAGACGAGACAAAACGCCGTTCTTGATCTTTTCTGATCTGATGACCGGAAAGGAAAAGGGCCGGAGATATTTTCTCCTCTGTCCCACACTGGGCCACCCCTCCCCCTCCCTGCTGTTCCCCCGCCCCCGCGCCGGACGCCGGTGTGCTGTATAAATACCGCATCGCGCTGCCTCGCAGGCCACTCAGCAGCAGCCCAGGCCGGAGCGGAGGCCACTGCGTCTGTCCCGGAGTGTCCCCAACTCTCGATCCATCCATCTCCATCTTGGCCAGGCAGCCTCCTCATCTCACGTTGGTAGGAACAACGATGGGTATAGTGCGGGCCGCGGACGATGTGGAGGCCGGGATGGTCGGGTCTGGCGGCGGGGCCGCCACGACGACGGAGCCGCTTCTCCGCCACTGCAAGGAGGACGACCAGGAGTCTAAGATCCGGGGCAGCCCGGAAGCGGCGGGGTCCGACTGCGGCAGCGAGGGGCGTCCGGACCCGGTCGCAGGCTCGCTGCGGATGGTCCTTCGCTCCACTGCCGTCGCCGTCTGCGGCTCCTTCGAGTTCGGCACCTGCGTAAGAACCCGCCGCCGCGCGCCACCTCCGATCCTTAAGGGCACGTTCAGATAGCATGGAATAGAGCCCAGGAATCGATCCGGAACGCAGCTGTATTTTATACACGCAGCAGCTGGAACAGTTCCGGTCAGGATTAAGTCAAAACGAATGGTCCCTAAGGGCCTGTTCGGCAGCAGTCGGACCAGGTTTGGTTCCTTACCAGTATACACCAGTTTTCAATACGAATGGCTCCGTTCCACCCGAAACGACCACCGGAACGGCCCGTTCCCAAAGAAACGAACGGAGCCTAACTGAGTTCCTTCCTCATTTGCGTTCCATGTTCTGAGTTTCTGATGCACATTTGCGTTCCATGCGACGCTGTGGAATATTAACTATACATGCTGGACGTGATTATTACGGATGACATACAGTAATTACGGTCTTTTCTTAGTTATCACTGTATGTACCTTCTTTTTGCTAGTTGTTACCATTTGTTTTACTACTGTAAATCTGTAATGCACGCATATGTCTCAAAAAAAAAGGAAAAAGAAACATATCAAACCTGCGCCCAAGGCCCCAATCACTGTGAATATGAACAGTTCATCAGATGCGGACGTGTCTTCTTAGCCCTTGTTTACTCCCAGAATCTAAATTTTGGCACTATGCAAAAAGAAGATTCCCGTCATATCAAACTTGCGGTACATACATGGAGTACTAAATGTTGACGAAATCAAAAACTAATTACACAGTTTGGTTGTACTTTGTGAGATGAACGTTTTGAGCCTAATTAGTCAACAATTGGACAATTATTACCAAATATAAACAAAATGCTTCGTTGCGCTACGGTGCCGGCGGCGCCGATTCTGCAAAGAACTAAACGCGGCATTATATTACCAAAAGAACCATCTAGTGCTGTTTTTTAATAGCTAGAAGACAAGATTTCATTTTCCTATCATGTCCTTGGCACATGATGCGCTTATAAAGTACTACATCTGCGTTCCAGTGGAACGTGTGTGCTGATGATGCAACATGATTCATATTTTATTGCTCGGCTATTTTTATTTTTTTTATGTCCCACATGATTCATTTGCTCGGCCAATTTTGTTTGCAGGTCGGCTATTCTGCACCCACGCAGTCAGGGATTGTAGATGAAGTCGGGCTATCTATCTCCGAGGTTCGTGACACCATCATAATCTTTGGAAAATAAATAAATTGTTCTGTCAGTGCACACTTTTGTATAATAATATTACGAAACTACTGTTGGATCTACTTCTAATCTTCTATCATGCTGAAATGTTCAATTTCATTGTATGGAAAAATATATTGACGGCCAAAGTTTAGATCGTCTTACTGTACATATTTTAACCTGCAGTTTGCCATTTTTGGATCTATATTGACAATCGGAGCAATGGTTGGTGCTGTTACTAGTGGGCGCTTGGCTGATTTTCTTGGACGAAAAATGGTAAAATTACTACACTGTCAATTGAGGCGAATCTTCTTAGTTTTACTAAAGATCATCCTCACACTATATCCTCTGTTTTGATTTGTGTTAGACCATGCGGATATCAGCTACTATTTGTATCTTTGGTTGGCTTTCTATACATCTGGCCAAGGTTTGTTCATTGTTGATAATTATCGTTCTTACGTTCTTAATCATTAATTATCTGTTCCAGCTCACTTCCTGTTTTCATAACATGATTTATACTGAATGTACAGAGCGCTATCATGCTCTACTTTGGGAGAATCCTACTGGGTTTCAGTACTGGAGTTCTTTCTTATGTGGTAAACATCTCCTAAATACTAATTCTTATGTACTACATTGCTTACTCTATGCTCGCTCTCTGTCTAAATTATCATGTTGTAACCTGAAAACTATCATGTTTTAGTGTTCTGACCATGTGTTTGATCCGCAGGTGCCTGTATTCATAGCTGAAATAGCACCAAAGAATCTCCGTGGGGGTCTCGCAACGTCAAACCAGGTTTGAAAACTAGAGCTCAAGAGTCTTGTAACGCGCATGATAGTTTTACCAGCTAATATGGTCCACTGGCTGCATGTGCAGCTCTTGATCTGTTCTGGAAGCTCAGCAACCTACATCATAGGAGCCCTGGTTGCATGGCGCAATTTGGTACTTGTTGGTATGCTGTGTTCACATCAACGCTAGATACATGATTATTCTTCGAATTCAAACTGGATGGAAATGAGTGAAAGTTTTGGTCCAGGTTTATTGCCTTGTGTTCTCCTGCTAGCCGGGCTTTTCTTCATTCCAGAGTCGCCGAGATGGCTGGTAAGGCACTTCTGCGTTAGCTGAATGTTCTATCAAATGTGACTTTTTGGATGTGTTTGTGGTGGGAAAAGAACCCAGCTTTTTCACTGCTTCAAACAATGGTAGTGTCAGTAGGACATACGAAGTAAATTCATCAATCACCCAATGATTCTTGTCAACTAAACTAAAAAAATTTGGTTCATCTATGTTGTGATGAATCTTTTGCTGTGAGCTTTACAATGCATTTAAACTACAGGCCAATGTCGGAAGGGAAAAGGAATACCACACCTCACTGCAAAAGCTGCGTGGAGAGGATGCTGATGTATCAGAAGAGGCAATTGAGATTAAAGTTGGTTTCTATCTTGACAGGCTATATATACTGGAATTTATAATGTTCTATGCTTAGACAGCTCATTTTTTTCAGGAGTACATTGAATCACTCCGCAGCTTTCCAAAGGCCAGGCTTCAAGACTTATTTCTAAGCAAAAATATATATGCAGTCATTGTAAGGAATCATTTATTTAACTACATACTTTTAGACTATGCATCTCTTTTGTTCATTGAATTTGAAATTTGACCATATGGAACTTTTCAGAAATATTTGCCAGGCATATAACTTCTGATCTTATATGCACAGGTGGGTGTTGGTTTGATGGTTTTTCAGCAACTCGGAGGGATAAATGGTGTTGGATTCTATGCAAGCTATATCTTCCACACTGCCGGTATGCAAATGTCTCTAATATTGTGTTGTCCTTTTGTAACAGTCCTTTTATGAATATGCTGCTTTTATCCTAACTTCAGGGTTTTCTGGAAAACTTGGAACCATCTTGATTGGCATTATTCAGGTTTGAGATAAGCTGCTTTCAGCTGGTAAAAGTTACTAATTAGAACACTTTTGTTTATAACCATGATCATTTCAGATTCCAATTACATTGTTTGGGGCCATCCTCATGGATAGGAGTGGAAGAAGGGTTCTCCTGATGGTATAAACACTACAAAGCTGAGCTGATGTACACAAAGAAAGTTGCTAGGTAGAATGTTTTGTGAGATCCTTTTATCCTATAGGTCTCTGCATCTGGAACATTTTTGGGCTGCTTCCTCACTGGAGTATCATTCTATCTAAAGGTAACTATAATTTTTCTAACCTGGTATGGAAAATTACTCTTGAAACTGACATAATATATGATAGCATCATAAATTAGCATGATGGCAATCACTTGGCACCAGCTGGTAAAAAGTTCACCTTATTCTAAAAAGGATTGACATGGCATATAGGACGTTTATCTATGTTTCTATATATAATGGTGAATGCTTCATGATCTACTAGGCACAAGGACTTTTCCCAGAATGGGTTCCCACATTGGCTCTTTCTGGCATACTGGTAAGAGATACAATGTCCCTGTGCTTTTGCTTTCTTTCAGTTACAGTATGAAACTTCCAAGGACCATAAGCTATATGTTAAGTCTCTTGAAAATCATTATACCTAGTACCATGGCAAATTGTCAAGATATATATTCCCGTATACACAAGTTATACATTTTATTTCTTGTGGTCTGAAATTGTCTTATGATGCTATTTCGATAAATAGGTTTACATCGGGGCATACTCAATTGGAATGGGTCCTGTCCCTTGGGTTGTCATGTCTGAGGTAAAATGGAAACCGGATTGTATTTGTTCTGGATGCATTTATGACAGATGGACAAATATTAAAGTTTGCTGGAGATTTACCATTGCTTAAATTGACTGCCTGCAGATATTCTCAATTAACATGAAAGCAGTTGGTGGAAGCTTGGTGACCCTTGTTAGTTGGTTGGGTTCCTTTGCGATTTCTTACTCATTTAGCTTCCTTATGGACTGGAGCTCTGCAGGTAATGCACCTAGAGTATTGCTGTTCACCTGCAATTTTAGACTTCTTTTTTTCTTCTTTGGTAAAAAACAGTAAAGGGCGTACCCCGTGCAGAGAGCTCCCGCTATGTGTGGGGTCTGGGGAAGGGTGAACAGTGCTTATGAAATTTGCTTAATCAAAAGTAAACTTTCAGTTTTAACAGAAAAATGAAATTGTAATGTACCTTCCCTGCTTACATTTGTTCCATTGCTTATTATTGTGTACAGGTACCTTCTTCATGTTCTCTGCAGCCAGCTTGGTCACTGTACTCTTCGTGGCAAAGCTAGTGCCTGAAACCAAAGGAAGGACACTAGAGGAGATCCAAGACTCTCTAAACACCAGAAGATAATAATGAATTTACTGCACACTACAGAAGAATTCCAAGATGGAAAATGAGAATTTACAGGACACAACAGAATAATTCCAAGATGGAAAATGATATACACGTTTACCTTTCCCACCTCCACCGTGTGCTCAACCGTCAGATTTCTGCTCATTGATGGATATATATAGAAGAAACAATACAATTTTCACCTCCTCCCGCTTCCCCTCCCCTTCTCTCCTGCCCACCTTTGTGTAAGTGTAATATGTAGTGTACTCTGTGTAGGTTAAGGAATTCAGATTGAGATTATGTAGTATTATGTACCATGTCCCTCCAGATTGCTTGAGCTTGAGCAGCAACTGAACCGACATTATGTACCATGTCCCTCTAGATCAATCGGCAGTACATTTTTATATTCATGATCAACATTTATGCATCATATGTCCCTCCACATCAATCAGCAATGCATTTTTATATTCATGATCAGCAGATACGACTGTGGTTTTATAGTTGTTGTATTACCATGGCAGCTACATATCGTCGTCCTGTTGAAAATCAAAATTGGCCCACGGCAAAAATTTATTGAACAACAAATAATACTTTTTTATAACCATGATCAGCATATACAATTTTGTTTTTATAGTTGTTGTGTTACCATGGCAACTTCATATCATTTTTTGAAAGGTGGCAACTTCATATCATTGTCCTGTTAAAATTCGAAATTGTCCATAAAGCAACAATTGTAGTTTCGAGTTCTGTTCACTCCATGATGGAAGGAGGAGCGGGCAGATTGTCGTGATGGAAGGAGCCACGGCCATCATTTTTTTTTTCGCGACCGTGCCTTAGCACATATTTCATTAAGAGGGGTAGAGAAACAAATAATACAAAGTTTCTAAGGCCAAGCCTACTGGATGGTAACCCCAAGATTGCCAATCAACTACTCTGCAAATTACACATAAAAGCACTACGGCCATCAGTTTTCCGAGCAATCCGTGATGGAAGGAGACAAGGAGTGGCAGATGTTTCGCAGACATCAGTTTTCTGAAATATATTTATGGCCCAGTACCACGTGAAATGATATGCATAGTATATTTTCTATACTTTTATTCTCATTTCATGTAAAAGGTTAATATAGAGGTACTATATTTAGAGAGCCAAAAAATGAGCTGACTCAAACCTATTTAAATAATTAAGATGAAACTAAGTCCATCGAAATAGAACACGTGGACCACACTAGCTGACCTATAACACTAATGGGCCTGCGCATTATATTGTTTTTCTTTTTGCAGGGATAGGCATTATATTGGCATTGCAGCATCTGGATTATGTTTAACATGCATCGCCATCACACACACCCTCTCTGTTTAAAAAAACGAGATCTAACCTAGCTTTTATTTTTGAGAAACCGGATTTATATTTCACATATAAATCTTAATGTTTACATTCCAGCTCTTACAGACACCCTTGAAGGAAAGAAAAATTACAGCTTAGTGACTTAGTCCTTGCAAGGTCCTCCCGGTCGTTTTCGCCGCCGGCGGTCGGAGCAGCCACACGACGCGCTCCCGTCGAACCAAAAGATGGAGAGGAGACACACCGCGCTTGCAACTTGAAGCCGACCTCCATCTCGAAGAAGAAACATCACAAATTTTCGTTGCCACCAAGAGCAGCACACCGAACACATCGACACGCTCTATAGTCGCTGAACGCCTTGGCTCGCCAGGAGACAAGGAATCTGGCGCCTCAAGAACCGCCAACAACCCCGGCTCACTGGACGACGACACAACCCGAAGGGGAACTAAACCACCAGAACAGGTGAGAAAAGCTAATCCGATTTCTCGGCACATTGGTAAACATACCTTCCAAGGCTCTCGCCGGAGAAGCCAGCATCGGTGCAAATGACGACGAGACGAAGGAGGGATAAGAAGAGAACCCAACGAGATCTAGAGCAGCTAGGTCCCCAAATCCGGCGAGCTCATACCTCTACAGCTCTTCGCTGGTACCGGAGCACGCACCATCGAGACGGAGAAGCTTATTCCATGGATGCAGTGACGCCTCCACCCTGCGAGCACCACCTGGACCTACTAATCTTCACGCCGCCGTTAACGAAACGAAGAACCCTAACCCTAAACTAGCTAACAAGGCTAAGGGTATGTACACCGGCCATCGATCCCGCGGCTCGTCCTTTGTGAGATCACCGGATCCAACCATGACACCGTAGGCGACGGGCGCGTCGCATTCTCTCTGTGACTCCACAGATGAGAGACAACGAAATTTATTGGGAGCAAACCCGGTGAGATATCGGAAATTCGCAGCCACGGGGGCTCGAACTCCGACCGGCAAGGTCCCAACCACCGGGCCTTGCCACCCGAGCTACGCTCGGTTCTCGGCCAGCCCGATATTACTTGCAGTTGATTGCGAATTTGCATCTACCTAGAAAGAACTAGGTCTTTTTTCATTATAAAGGGAAAATTGGCACCTAAATTCAAGCTAAGGGGAAAATTGGCACCTAAATTCAAGCTAAGAGGGCACCTGACAACACCAGGAGGTGCAGCTACTCCTCACACGGTCACACCCTCTCTGTTCCGCCAGGTATGCCTGCAACGCTCCCTTCATCCACCGCAGCATCGCCACTGCTGCTCCACTGCAACGCCGCCCCTTCCATCTCTTTCCGCCACCGCAGGCGTTGGCAGCGGCCGGCCAGCCACACGGCACGATGCCCGCGGCGCGCAGCAGCTGCCGCTGCTGGTCACGCGGTGCCTGCCAGCAGCAGTGCCTCCGGGAGCCAATGGCGCGTGCGGAGCCATTGCGGCGTCGGGGGCAGGGGCGGCGGCTGGGAAGGCGCCGTACAGGGGCAGCAAGGGGCAAGGGTCGCTGTGGATGGTCTTCCTCGCCACCGCGGTGGTCGTGTGCGGCTCCTTCGAGTTCGGCACCTGTGTGAGGACTATGTTTTTATAAGCATATACTTCATTTTCTTTATAAAAATCCAGAAAAAAATAATCCTTCGGTCGTAAAGAAAATCCAGGAAGCATGCTCTTGATTCGATTCAAATATAGAGCACTGGTATGCAGGTGGGGTATTCTGCGCCGGCTCAAGCTGGAATTGTGAGAGACATTGGATTGTCCAACTCCGAGGTTGGTTGGCACTTGACATTGGAGTATATACATATACAAATTATTCTTCTAGTGCATGGGTACTAATTATCTTATCTCTTTTTGCTGCGGATCAAATAAACTTTTGTGTCAACTAATGGTAGGTGGTAGCAGGCTCGATGCAGAGCAGCAAAAAACATTTTATTTGATCAAAGCAGAATATGAATTAACTGTGACTGTTTCGTGAAAGTTTAGTTGGTCAAGTAGATAACTAGATACCATGATCTAAAATGTACCCAGGCTACTGATTTCACCCTTCGATCTTGCTTTTTCTGTCTCCACATTCAATTCTTAGTTTACAAAATGTAATGTTGTACAGAAGGCCCCTGTTGGTTTCGACAAGAAATCTTTTTGATTCATGTCCTTGTAGTATGGTGTCTTTGGATCTGTCTTGACAATTGGAGCAATGATTGGTGCTGTGCGACTAGCGGCCGCCTGGCAGACATTCTTGGACGCAAAGGCCCCGTTCGCTTCACTGAAAAAACAAGCCGAAACACTGTTCCGGCTGATTTGTTGGGAGAGAAAAACACTGTTCTGACTGAAAAAACATGCTGAAAAAGACAGATTATAAGAGAAGCGAACAGGGCAAAAATGGTTAAGTAATTCAACTGCAGCAATTGATAAATAAAATGGTTACCCTTATTCATCTTCACGACATTTCTTCCATTTGCATTTTTCACAGACCATGCGATTTGCAGCAGTTGTAGGCATTTTTGGCTGGCTTACTGTATATTTTGCCAAGGTATGCTCCTCCGTCAGCTATTTTCTTGCTTCATCTGCCGACTGCCATTTTGTAGCTGTAATACTGGCCTTCCTCTAATGACATGAAGAATGCTATGGTGCTCTATGCTGGAAGAGTTTTGCTGGGATATTGTACTGGAGTTCTTTCCTATGTGGTGAACATCTATAGTTCTCAATATGTACCTAAAATCTTCATTCTTATGTTTCTAAAAAAAGTTTTATTTATCAACATCACACTCTATGCACTAACAACTCCTGGGGTTATAATAACACAGGTGCCTGTGTTTATATCTGAAATAGCACCAAAGGGTATCCGAGGAGGCCTTGCAACCTCAAACCAGGTCAGAGAAATTGGAGCTGAAGTGCCTCTTATTATTTTTGTGTAGTGAATCTTAATAATTAATATGGGCTCTTTTGAATATGCAGTTATTCATCTGTTCAGGGTGTTCAGCTGCTTACATTATTGGAGCACTTGTTTCATGGCGCTCTTTGGTTCTAGTAGGTAATCACTAATATATTTACATGTATGTTGATAAATCAAGCATCAAGAGAAACTAATGTAGCATTTCATGCAGGATTAGTACCTTGTGCTGTCCTACTTGTGGGGCTTTTCTTCATTCCAGAGTCTCCAAGGTGGCTGGTGAGATGGTAACTGACTCTGCATGTAACATGGTTGTGTTGTGAAGTATTTTTTTAATAATTTCATATATTGTTAGAGGAAAATAACACCATTTTCTGTTGCTCATCATTTTTCATATATTGTTAGAGGAAATATTTTTTCCATTTGATTTGTTGTTATAGGAAAATAATTTCATATATTGTTGTGACGGATGATTATTCTAAACCGTTTTGTTTCATAGGATATATGAATTACACATTCTGCACTCCTTGATTTTACCTTACAACAACAACATTATGTTACATTCATGACTTATTTCTCATTTCCACACATGGTTATCTATATCAAGATAATAGTGATGAAAATATGAAATATAACCTCTTTTGTGCACAGAAAACCTTGACTAAAATTATAACTTCTAATTTTACACTTCCTTCTAAAACTCAGTTTGATAATATGACAGGCCAACATAGGGAAAGAGAGAGAATTCCATGCTTCATTACAGGAGTTTAGGGGGGAAGACTCTGACATTTCTGAAGAGGCTACTGAGATCAAAGTTATTTATTCCGAACATAACTTCCATTTATCAAACAATGTAGATCATAAGATATTCAAACTAAACATTCTATCCAGGATTATATAGAATCAATTCGCCGATTGCCTAAGACCAGGATTCAAGATTTATTTCAGAGCAAAAATATGTATGCAGTCACGGTAAGAATTTTATCCACTTAATTTATTTTCTTATACCTTATTGTTTTCTTGTAAGATAACAAAAATTCAGAAATTAATGGTGCCAGTCCGCCAGTTATTGTTTTCTGAAGAAGTACGAAAGAAGTTCAGAACTAATTCTGTAACTTTGATATTCAGGTGGGTGTTGGCCTGATGATTTTTCAGCAACTGGGAGGAATAAATGCCTTAGGTTTCTATACAAGCTATATATTTTCCTCTGCGCGTATCCAAGCTAGATAATTTTTGTCCTCTTAAAAAACGAGGTATCTACAGCTCTTTCTAAAAACTTCAGGGTTTTCTGGAAAACTTGGGACCACCTTGATTGGCATTATTCAGGTTCAGGTTTAGCCATTTTTTTCAATAAAAGCTACTGGTCATAGGATTTTTCTATAATTGTTTTTTTTCAGATTCCAATCACATTCTTTGGGGCCCTTCTGATGGATAGGAGTGGAAGAAGAGCCCTTCTTTTGGTATGAACACTCTAAATCTGAGTTGATGTACAGAAAAGAAAAGCAGTGTTCTATGTGTCTTTGGTTTTCAGGTCTCTTCATCTGGAGCATTTCTTGGCTGCTTTCTTACTGGACTATCATTCTATTTTAAGGTAACATGAGCATTTTAGCGCGTGAATTTACAGTATAGTTTAATGTCTGAGCTTAACAGTCAAATGGTATTAATATTTATGAAAAAATATGATTAAATACTGAACTTTTAAAACATGATCTAGTTTGGTTCTGCCTATTGTTTCATTCGACTGAATTGATTTTGATTCCTTTTGTCAATTTTAGTTATCTGAGAGTACTAGTGTCTGCTCGCAAACTACAAAGTAGCTGCAGTTGTGAATGTTGGACATTTCGAATTGCTGAAGCCCTGTCAATAAAGGAGGAATTCCTAGGAAATGGTTTCCTCGGGGATTAGTAAACTTTTTTCCGAAATCCAACTGGAGCCTCAGATTTTATGCATCTTATATCTGATGATGAGATAAATGGTGATGAGATAAATGGTACAAGGACACTCTAACACGTGTGGGGTTCCACTGAATAACCAGATGGAAGTCTGGAAACATCAACAAAATGGAACTGACCGAATCAACATAACCAGATGATTCAAAAATCTGAAGTATATAGTTTTTTTTGTTGAATTCTATGGCATATCAATGTATCTCTGTCTGAAAGTAATGTATTAAAATGAGTATTTACTGATCCTCATTTTTGTTTTTCTCACTGTTCCATGATTTTACAGGCACAGGGACTGTGCACAAAGCTGGTTCCTACTTTGGCTCTTTGTGGCATACTGGTATAGAAATTGCAATAATTGAAATTCCTACAATCGTGTAATTTTATATGTAAATGTGTTTACATGTGCCATGACTATAAGCTAAATTTGTTATTAGTCTCTTGAAAGCTGATTGAGATCAACCCAATACATTTTGAAATGGATGCTTTCTGACAATGACACCACTGAACTTTTGGAGATTTTATTACATTGTAATCCTGCTTCCTAAAACAGGTATACTATGGCGTACTCAGTTGGAATGGGCCCAGTTCCTTGGGTTATCATGTCCGAGGTAAGAAAGTATCCTGTGAAGTTACTTCAATAATGATCATTTGTTTAGGGGTCTGTAAAAGGGGGCTCATGATATCTCCTGACTTACTGTCACAGATATTCTCGATCGACATGAAAGCAATAGCCGGAGGGTTCGTAACCCTGGCCAGTTGGATCAGTTCCTTTGCGATTTCATACTCATTCAACTTCCTCATGATTGAAACCCCGCAGGTAAAGTTCTTTACCATTGTTAGAATTGGAGAGTGAGGCGAGAAATAGGACAGTTATTGGCTGTGCAAGGGCCAGTTTACTAATAACAGATGTTTCGAAAGGAAACATTTTTAGTATAGCTGATAATTTAGCCTTAGAAGTATCTGATTCAAAGCTATCTGCTTCTGTATGCAGGTACATTCTTTCTGTTCTCTGCAGCGAGCTTGGTCACTGTGCTGTTCGTGGCAAAGTACCAGAAACTAAAGGAAGAACACTAGAAGAGATCCAAACGTTGCTCAAAGCCACGTGAGTTGGTCCTATGACCGGGTTTTTTGGCACCATGGGTGCCTGTACATAAAACTCTATTTCCTTCTTAATTGAGCGGCACATGAGTGGCTAGCATTCGCTCAGTAGGTAAAAATCCATTCAAAAAAATTGCTGTAAATATTCACCTCTTGTAAATTCTTGTACACGGCAGATGAATGATATTGCCTCATGTAAAATTTCTCCTGTATTTCACTCTCTTTGATATGCTGTTTAGGACATAGATATGGTCTGCAACATATGCTCATCTTGGACTATTTCATTTTCTCTAAGTCCCAGGGACGAACCTCTAGTCCAGAGATTGTTCCAGGTACGAGTTTTTTTCACAAAAATACTTAGCTCTCAGTTCCTTTGCTGTGAAAAGTTCAACCAGCTTGTTGAAAACCTTCTCGGTTGTGCCATGCCAGACCCACACGAGTTCACATCTGGTCAGGCCTAGGCACGGCTCATGTTCCACCTCTACTCATATGTTCTACTCACATGTTCTAGTCCAGAGGAGCATTTTTTTTCACCATGAATGATGAGCATTATCCTTCTCCAAAACATCGCCATACATTCTGCTAATCCTGTTTTTTTTTCAGTAAAAACATAGAAACAACCATCTAAATGAAAGAGCACAAAAACAAAGATGATTTCTTTTTTTCTTAGCAATGTCCTGAATCCTGATCGCGTCCAAGCTCCACCCGTTGAAATCTCTGGAGCCAATACGATTCGACTCCGTCTCCAAATCTCTGTAACACCCTAAAATTTGCCCATTTTGAAAATAGGTTTAAAATGATTTAATTTTGTATTTTTATGCTCATGAAATATAGGGAAATAATTTTTTCATTAAATTAAAACTCATCATAAGGTAGCAACATGTTTGTGCATACATGCCCTTGCATTTGATGTATTTGGTTCAGTGGTTTTGATTGAAAATTTAAAATAGTTAAAATTGCTTTTGTAATTAAAAATGGTTTTGAAGTAAAAGAAAAGAAAATTTGAAAATAAAAGAATTTAAAAAGTTGTAAAAATAATTTTTGAGAAGACTTACTAAAATTCCTCATTTTTACTTGGGTTGAAAAAGTATATTTGAAACCTCATTTGAATTTGACTTTGGTTATGTTTGAATTGGCTTTGAAAACAAAATAGGAGAAAGATTTGGAAAAAATGAAAAAAACGCTCTTCTCCCTCTCCCTCTCCTTCGGCCCAGCAGACCGGCCTAGCTGCTTTCTCCCCCGGCCTGTCTTGGTTTCCTCCGCGCGCAGCCCAGCTCCTCCTCTCTTGCATTCGGCCCAATTCCTTCCCTCCCCCGCTGTGGTGCCGGCCCGTTTCAACCGGCCCAGTAAAGCCGCACCGGCCGAATCCACTACCGCAGCCCAACTCAGCAGCAGCTCGCCCCGCGCCCTCTCTCCTTCACTGACCGCCCGGCCCCTCTTTCTCCCGTCATTGACCGGTGGAACCCCACTGTCAGGAGCATCTCCTACCTCGCGACGTCTCCTTCCTGGACTCTCCCCGCTGCGCCGAGTGTCCGTGGCCGCGCCGAGTCCGCCGTTGCCTTGCGCCGCAAGTCCCTTCGTCCCATAAATAGCGAGGCCCCGCGCCGTGCCACCTACCCCGCGCCCTATCTCGCACCGCTTCGCCTCGAGCTAGCCTAGCGCCGCCGCCCGGATCCCGCCGCGTGGAGCTTGACGCCGTCGAGTCGCCTCCGCAGCTTCACCTCCGACCTACAGCCTGTTCGTTTGGCTGTGGCTTGTCGTAAACGATCGTAAATTTCCAGCCGGAACAGTATTTTTCTCTCACACAAACCAGCCAGCAGTACTTCTTCACGAACCAGCAACGAAACGAACCAGCCAACCGAACATGCTGCTAAGCCACTACCGAGCTACGTGTGGAGGTAAGAAACCTTTTGAAGTCGTCTTCCCCTCGCTCTCCCGCTCTAAGTACCTTGCGCGACTTCACCGTCGAAGCCGAGCCGTCGAATCACGTGTGCCGCCGTCCCCGTCCCTCTCCGGCTTCAACCTATACCTCCATAGAGTTAGCTGTAGCCTTATCTACCTCCCCATGCTATTCGTTGAAGAAATTAAGCCCGGAATCGCCACCTGGAAGTACTCCGGTGAGGTGCTCTATTTCCGGCCATGGCCGCCCGCCGTCTTGGTCCTATTCCGGCCGACGGATAAGCCCAGCCCTTCCTCAGTCGTTCATCGCGTGATCGGCGGTCTAGATCGGGCCATACCCTTTCAACGGTCGTTTTGCTTAAGAGCCCCTCGATTTCTTAGAAATAGAACCCACGGTCCATTGCGTGTTTTCCGATTTCGTTTTCTTCTTTTCAAAGCGTACTTTGCTTCGGTTAGATTGAAAATACGTTTTCAGCTATTCACAGATTTGCCACTAAATTTGTTTAGGCCATAATTTATCCGTTTACCTCCGAATTGATCCGTTCAAATTGCATTAGGTTCGTAATTTCATAATCTACATGTTCACATTACTGTTAAATATGTTTTCAACTTTTAAAATTTGAGGTTAGATTTAATCTAAGATTTTAATAAAGAAAATCTTGTTTATTTAATATCTTCTATGTTTTAACTCCGTTTTAGCCTGTTCAAGTTGTGCTAGATTCATAGCGGCGGGATCTACGCGTTAGTAACAGTAGTTACCATGTCACTAATACTGGAATTTTATGGTTTAAATCATATCTTGAATAACATTTATGCAACTGGATTTTATAAATAAAATATGGGTTGTTTCACTTTAATTTTATAATTCAAATCTAAATTTGACTTAATTCAATTTATAGTATCTATAAAATATCTTATATATGTTTTTATATAATTAAAACACATGAAGCTAATGGTTTTATGAGCAAATTTTTCAGTAGTTGTATCTTTTTAATCGTAGCTCGATTAGAGTGCTTCTCACGACTGTGTGTTCGTAGCGATGCGTATAATCGTGTTTCAAACCCTTTCACTTATTTTTCTATGATTGGTGTATTATTCTGATTTAGTTCTATTGTTTGCTTCGTGTATGATTGTATGGATGCTTGTGTGGTGCTTTATGATTTCGTCCAGTTGGTGAGATATACGTGGTGATCAAGAAAAAGAAGAAGAACGTTGAAGATTAAAGCTTACTGAAGGATCGGTGTTTTAAGACAAGTATAGCATGGGACCATTCTTATTACCTATTCACCTTTAATCATTTAATTCATACTGCATGTGTCTACCTTGACTGCCACTAAGGATATCCTAGTCTTTTGTACTTGTACCTTGATTCCTATGGGGTATTGCGTTGTGCAGTATGATGCTAGTGCTCAACTACAACAATGATCTTGTAACTTGACTAATGTAATATGCAATAAACACTAAAAGATGATTTTTAACAATATGGAACAAGGGGGCTAGAGCATTGGGCTGTTTTTATGGTGCTCTAGATTTCTCTCCCTAAGGACTTATCTGTAAGTGATTTATTCGGGACTTACAGTACAACTATGAGGACTATATGGCTCTGGCTTTAGCTCAGTATGAGAACATTTTCTAGCTTGTTAGTGGTTACCTTTATTGGTATAAGAATGACTTGCCGAATTGGGTATAGTGCGGCCTCTATCCCCATCTGTATAGGCTACGCGTCAATGTGTCATCGGGAATAGGAGCTCTACATCTGTTTGCCGAGTGAATCTAATGGCCCTAATTTGTTAAACGAACCTTTGAAAGGCTTCATAGTGAACCCTGCCGACCTTCCTTGGAAGTGGGTCAAGAGATTAGCTACCTCGGGCGAAAGGGTAAATCACGACTCACAGTGAAAGTGTACAACCTCTGCAGAGTGTAAAACTGGTATATCAGCCGTGCTCACGGTCACGAGTGGCCTTGGAACATTTACGGAATAGATGATCACTAATGGTTAATGATGATGAACACAGATGATACTGATGATGAAGATGTTCATTAATGATTACTGTTTATGCTATTCATTTTTCATGTTTACCTGATCATGCGTTTACGGGCTTGTGATAAACTTGTTGCTACTCCTTTGCTAAAATTGAGACAATTAAAAGCTAACCGCAGTTGAGCAAGTGTCATCCTTTTGAGCCTCATGAACCCCATGTTATATTTGTTGAATACGACATGTATTTACACTTGTTTTACTTTTTAAATATTTGGATGAAAATCCCAGATGGGTACCAGATTGCTAGAGTTTGGAGGAATTAGGCTTCACTACTGGAGACTGCCTCTTTGCCGACTCGGCAAAGGCCTATTAACCCTCGGCAAAGAGCTCTCGGGGAATTTTGAGTCGGCGAAGAGGGTCTTTGCCGAGGGCCCTTTATCGGGCACTCGGTAAAGCCTTTGCCGAGGGCTGGAGCGGCACTCGGCAAAGAAAAGCAGCCGTCACGGCGTCGGTGCCTGGGACGGAGTCTTTGCCGAGGGTCGTGGCCCTCGGCAAAGAATTATTCTTTTTTTTTGAAAAATCTTTGCTGAGGGCCTCCAACCATGGTCCTCGGCAAAGAAATGTTGCAGAATTTTTCCAAAAAATCTTTGCGGAGGGCAATGGGACGGCCCTCGGCAAAGAATTATTCTTAAAAAAATTCTTTGCCGAGGGCTTCCCCGCAGGCCCTCGGCAAAGAAATTTTAATTTTTTTAAAAAAAGTCTTTGCCGAGGGCCTCCAACCATGACCCTCGGCAAAGAAATATTCCAGAATTTTTCCAATGAATCTTTGCCGAGGGCAATGGAACGGTCCTCGGCAAAGGACCCTTCTTTGCCGAGGGCCTTGGTCATTGCCCTCAGCAAAGAGGTAGAAATTTTAAAAAAAAATTGTTTTTTGCATTCCATCGACACAAGCATGTTTCCCAGCTCCTTTTCAGTAACTCAAGCTAAGTAGCTAGCAAGTAGCAACACTTTTTGAGTGCATCTGATCCTCGCCATCACGATATGGAATGCAGTGTTCAGACCTTGAGATTGTTTCCCTATAAAGAATTGCAAAGAG